TATACTAGGCATGTTAGAAGACCAGTTAATCAGCACTACAATATCAGATATGTAGTCCCTACTGTAAAACAGGCTCCAACTACGATGGTTTGGAGCTGCTTTAGCAAAGCAGGCCAGGGCAGTATCTGGTTTATGCCAAAGAACACTACCATTAATGGAGCAGTGTATCTCAATATCCTTAAAAAAAAGCTACCTCAGCATTTGGCTAGTAGCAATTGCACCACTTTCCAGCATGATGGAGCTCCCTGCCACCGCACTGGAGCAGTTAGCCAGTGGCTAATGGGTCAACACATTGGTGTCTTAGGACCTTGGCCTGGCTCCAGCCTGGACCTTAATCCAACAGAAAATTTATGGATGATGGTAAAGCAAAAAGTTGCTACGAAGAATCCTAGTTATAAAAACACCCTTAAGAAAGCAATCATGACTGTTTAGACTCAAGAAATAATGCTGGAATATTGCCAATAATTAGTTAATTCAATGCCTGAGAGGATAAGGGCTGTGATAGCCAACAAAGGGCAGCCCACCAAATATTGACTTTTGAGACAATCACGCCTTTTAGATGCTTTTTTACTAAAAATTTAATCATATTTTATAATTAAAGCACAAACTAATTATTATTGGTGTTAACTGCTTGTTATATTCAGGTTCTAAAAGCCATACTATGAAAAAATGCAGCGTTCTCATATTTATGGTCATGACTGTATATATATATATATATATATATATATATATATATATATATATATATATATATATATATATATATATAGTGTATATGTTACTGTTACCCGCAATACCAGGAATTAGCTAATAAAATGCTAATGCTTATGATATATTTTAATATTGCAACTCTGAGTTTCATGTGTTACCACAATCATCAAGTAGTAAAAGTTTAATTTTGCTACGGTTTGTTTAGTGGAAATAACGGTTTATATTTGAATTATTGATCGTTACGGGACGGAAATTGATAAGCAGTTAATAATATTATTAATTTGTTTTTAGTAAGCTAATAGTTGTGAAATAATTATGTTTAAAGTTGTTCAAAATAATTGTTTATGTGATAATATGCATTATTTATGCATTAAAAAATTAAAATTAAAATTGATATAAAAATATATATAATATTATGAAATATTTTACAATGTGTATATGAGTAATTTATTAGTTAGCCTAGAAATATAAAGAGTAGATTAATATAGTTATTTTTAGTTGTTATTTAGGTTTGTAGCAAACTTCGTGATTTTTTAACAAGAATTTTATTTTTGTGGCAGCACTTAGATATAATTTCTGTTCTTTTATTTAGTAATTCCTCAGGTTTTTGATACGATATGATAGCAAATTTATCATACAGACATAGCGAGCACCTTTTGGAAATATTTGAGTAGGGGGGTAGACTTGAGAATAGACCATGTCAGTATAGGGGTTTCGTTAAAATTATTTTTTAAATCCAAGACGTAGCTTGATAGGGAGGTAGACTTTTTGTATTTAATATTGCTGAGTGATGATTTGTGGTTGTTATATCTGGTTTTCCACTCACCTTCCATTAATCCAATATAAACTTTGTTGGGTTGGCTTTTTGCTGTGATGATGCATTTATATATAATATTTGTGGATTTGCACTTACCATTCAGGGGGCATTCTGCTTTGTTTCAACAATTGCATTTTGGGTCATTAATTTTAATTCTTGGAAAGATAATTTTTTTGTTGTGGTTTTTATACTTTTTTCTATATTTTCAGTGCAACTGTAGCTTACCTTTACAGTGTTTCAGTTTAAGATTTTGTTAAGTTTGTGTGTCTTAGTGAAGTTTTATTCAAGTAAATACCAGAACATTTTTGCAACTTTTGTTGAGACATTTTTATTAAATGGGGGTTGAACCATATGATATTGCGTTTACAATTTTTTTGGGGTGTTTTTTGTTTGATCTGATATTTAAGAGAGTAGTTTTTATATCCGCTATTTTTTAGTGCTTGTTCATATTCATTTTTAGATTGATTAAATATAACTTCGTTGGAGGAATTTTGCAAAAGCTTGTTAGATATTGAAGTAGGTAAGTGCTTGATAATTTGTGGTGGGTGATTAGAAGATGTGTGGATGTATAGAAGGTTATCGTTGGGTTTTTTTGAAAGGTTTATGTGTGTTTTGGGATAAATTAAAAGTGACATCAAGGAAGTTAACTGATTTAAGATTTGTTATATCTATTTGAAATTCAATATCTTTAAACTTTCGGATTATGTTTTTTCGCATTCGCTCTATTTCTTGGCCATTAGAATTGCGTATTATCAGCAAGCCATCATCATGGTAAAACCCTACGTCGGTTTTTATAATTATATTGGACAGCTCGTTGAGTATGTAGATCCCTACAGGCTTGCAACTTTCAAAGCTCGCTACAAAACTAAAGAACAACTAAAAATAACTATATTAATCTGCTCCATATATCTCTAGGCTAACTAATAAATTACTTACATACACATTTTAAAATATTTCATAATATTATATATATTTTAAAATCAATTTTAATTTTAATTTTTTAATACATAAATAATGCATATTATCACATAAACAGTTATTTTAAACAACATTAAGCATAGCTATTTCACAACTATTAGCTTACTAAAAACAAATTAATAATATTATTAACCTAACTACTAATCAATTTCCATCCCGTAAAAATCCATAATACAAATATAAACCATAACATCCACTAAACAAATCATAACAAAATTAGACTTTTACTACTTGCCTGATGGTAACACATAAAACTCAGAGTTGCAATATTAAACTATATTATAAACATTAGCATTTAGCTAATTCCTGGTACTGTGGGCAACAGTAAAATATACACTGTATAGCTCTAGTTTATCTATTGAGCACTCTTTTAAGTATACAATATTATACATGATAATATAAAGATCTTTTTTTTTGTCGTGTCGTCAAAAGAGACTTTTATGTTAAAAAAAAGTCTCTTTCGACTGCAATTTTTTTACCTTGTCTCTTAAGCTGCATTTTATTGTCGTCAAAATGTCAAAGCAATTAAATTAATGCGGTACATTAAATGTATTGTTTTTTAAAAAAACCGCGATAATAATGACTAGAAAGTTTTTTTTAATTAGTGGTGTTTTTGTTTCTGTTTTATTAAAAAACATTTTTAAAATATGCGTAAGTGTTGCTACATCGACTATCTTATAGCCTGCTGCTACAAGGGAGTGTTGCTACATCGACTATCTTATAGCCTGACTTGCAACAGAGTGCTGCTACATCGACTGACAAATAGCCTGACCCTAATTCAGACGATTGTAATATATATATATATATATATATATATATATATATATATATATATATATATAATATATATATATATATATATATATATATATATATATATATATATATATATATATATATATATATATATATATATATATTATATACAACCCTCTGAATTAGGGTCGACATTTGGCAATGCAAACCTAACTGCCAATCTTAAAGTGTTTGATGTTGGCTAAATATTGTCTACCTCATTTTTCCTGATTCGGAGGTTTGTATGTGTGTATATATATATTTATATATATATATATATATATATATATATATATATATATATATATATATATATATATACATATATATATATACATATATATATATATATATTTATATATATATGTATATATATATATATATATATATATATATATATATATATATATATATATATATATATATATATATATATATATATATATATAGATAGATATATATATATATATTAAAATTAAATTTGATAAAATAATTTGAATTAAAAAATACAACTTCATTAAAGAATGCTTTTTGGCAATGATAAGCCATATTTAAAAATATAAAATAAAAACCGTTATAAAAAATACAAGTTTTTGCATTGCAATGGAAGACAATTTATGTTCAATTGAGGTTAGTAATTGTTTTAAAATGCTTGGTGGATAGTTGGAACTAGCATGAATATAATTTAATATACTATTAGGTAAGGTTGGAAATTGCAGTTGTTAAGATTTAATGTATCATCAAGGTAATTAACAATTTTTAAATTAGATTATTAGATTGAATGGAAATACTGAGATCGTTTTGTTTAAATATCTGATTAAAATATTTCTTAATTCCATTTTTTGGACTGCTTGCATTTTTAATCACAGTTAAGCTCTATATAATGTAATATCACACTTGCTATATAATTGCAAAATCTGGAAAAGAAAAAATTACAGACTAACTTGCACACCTCCATGCTATCAAATACATCCATGGTAATATCAAACAAATAAGAAATAAAAATGTTTGTCATTTATTGTTTTTAAACCAATTTATTATGTTTTGTGTGCTACTCCACTGATTTAATTGCATAATATTTTTTAGCTTTTAGTGTTTGTTTACTTATTGTACCAATTTTGTTCTTAGCTGGGTTAATCAGACAATCAGTGGGTTTATTTTAAAAGTTTGGTTTATGGTCTTTTATTGTAATGAAACAACTGGAGGAACCATTAAAATTGGTTCTGTTAAAAACATGATTCTTCAAAATAGTTTTTATTTATAAATGTGCTTTTTTATTAAAGGTTGGTTTTTTTATAATTAGATGTGGCATTAATTAACAACTTATTCTTCTTATGATAATTTATATAAATTTGATGATCTGCAAAAGTGTAAGTATAATTTAATTTTCGAATAGAGGAAATGTTTCGAGTAGAGGTTTGATAGTAGAGTTAATAGTTTTAATTGTTTTTGTTGTAAAAAAAATAATTAAAAAAAAAAATGATTCCATATAAGCAGTTGGCTGCTTGAAATTTTACCACATGAATTTTAAAAGAATGTTTATTTTATATTTAAACTTGAATTATTGATTTTAAAATTTATAATATGTATGTTGTCAAACATTTTAAAATGATTTTTAAAATGTTTGTTATTGTAAAAATAAATTTGTTGAAAACAAATAAATTAAAAATATAATTTTTAATTAACTTTTGTTCCATAGTCTCACAATTATGATTATGGTAATATGGATTATGACAACATGGATGAAGATGAATTTGGATACTATGGCGATTACTAAATGATATATTTTTATATATTTTTTAGAGATTTTTACACATTTTATGTTATACTTTAGATTAGCACATAGAGTTAAAAGTATTACAAAAAAAAAAATGTTTTATAAAATATTTTTTAAAGTCTTTTGTTTTATATTTTCTTTCTGTTGTGTTGATAGTTTTAATACTACTCTTTTCAACTTGTTGCTTTTTGTCTTAATATGCTGTAAATAAATGCTTGTATAAAAAAGTATATATATATATATATATATATATATATATATATATATATATATATATATATATATATATATATATATATATATATATTTATATATATATATATACATACAGGCACACGTATAGAATTGTATAGAACACATTATATATGATATCAAAAAGTCTAGTATACTTTGTCATATTTTTATTGTCACTGTAATAGATTTTATAGGAAATACAGGCTATATATACATTTTTAGTTTTATATTTAAATGGTGGCTATATTCTGAATCACAGCAGCAAAAACTGATAATAAAATGCAGCATGTGATTTTGTGTTTTGACTCCAATATTTTACTTATATACTATCATTTTTTAAAAAGTTTACTAATGTTTCTAATTATTTCTTTAAAATAATTTACTGCATACTTCCCATAGTTACCAATTTCTACAAATGTTTTTGTAAATCCAACATAAGCCATCAATAAGATAATACTTATTCATAACTATTAGCCTAATGATTTTTTAATAGAATAAGATTTGTTTGTAATAGTGTGTATTTTGAAATATTGTGTTCAGACAAGTAGAAAATGGATGGTTATGATGCTGATTTTGTAAATGAAGTTCCGTCAGATTTAGAATGTGGTATTTGCTTGTTTGTGGTTCGTGAACCAGTTCAAATATTGGCTTGTGGCCATAGGTTTTGTTCTCACTGCTTTGAAAAATTGAAGAAATCACTTGCAGATCGGTATTTTGATCTTTTTTAAACTTAACATTTCCTCTAATGAAAGTCGTTTTTAGTCTTAATAAAAAGTCCTGATAAAAGTTTTTTTTTTATAATTGTTATATTCATTTTCAGGCTTCGTTGTCCTAAAGACAATGCAAGTATTGATACTAAAATGGTAACATTTTTTGTATTTTTATTTTGTCAGTTGATATTTGTTTTTCCAATGAGATTAATAATATGATTAATGAATTTCATGATAATCACATTGTTATAAAAAATGTGATCATCACTATACAACCATCGGAGTTAAGATCAGCATTCGGCAATGCAAAATTAATTGGCAGCTTAAAAGTATTTGAGGTTGGCAAAATATTGCCGACATTGTTTCTATGATTTATGGTAACCCCTTTATGTCAAATTTATTTTGCCGACCTCTAATAGTTTAACATTTTTTCTTATACCGATAGTAGATTATAATTAATGACGTTCATGATGATCACATTGTTATAAGAAATGTGATCATCATTATAATTAATAAGATTCCTGATGATCACATTGTGATGATCATTATAATTAATGATGTTTATGATGATCACATTGTGTAATCATCATTATTATTAATGAGATTCCTGACGATCACATTGTTGTCATTATTATATTTAATGATGTTCATGATGATCACATTGTTATAAAAAATAAAATCCTTACTTATGCCATTATTATTACAATTTATGAGGTTATTCAAATATATTTATTATAATTTATGAGATAAGTTAGATTCATGTAATTTATTTAGGTTTTTCCAGATACAGCTGCTCTAAGAACTGTATCCAATCTTACTGTTAGATGCTCTAAAACAGGTGAAGGATGTCTTTGGCAAGGAGCGTTGCACGAGTTAGAGGTAAATTTACATAAGTAAATATAAACTATAATTAACATTTTACTTTTATTAATTTTTTTTTTTTTTTAATTATTAAGGTGTTCCAAAAAGACCAATTGGTCTTATCACAGAGCATTGTGAAGGAGCATTTAACCAGAAAGTTTACGCCTCCTTCTTTAACTTACAAAAAAAAAAAAATTATGCCCTCTTAATGTTTTTATCAAATATATAAAATGGAATATAAGTTTTGCAAAATAGCAACAATGATTGTATATTTGTAATGCTTATTTTATCATTAATATATTATAATTTATAATTTTATTATAATCTATTTAACTATTTTTTCGTACTCATACTTTACTAATGATTGAAAAAGAAAAAAAATATATGTAATTGTTATGGTTACTTAATTTTTTAATTTTTTCAGAATCATTTAAAAGATTGTTCGCTTAATAATCCAAAAAACTTAATTCAGGTATTGTTATAATGTTTATTTACTTTGTTTTTTCTATGTATTTATATAAATACTGAATTTCTGTGTATTTATATAAATAATATTTCGAAAATCGTAGTAACATTTTTGAATTAATGAGCAACAATACAAAATTACATTTTACTTTTTTTTTTTCATTTTTACTTTTATTGTACTTGCATGAATGTTTTAAAATCGTTTACAAAAGCAATTGTTCTCCGCAGTTGTTTTCAAGCATTGTATTGCTACAAGAAATTTAAGCAGCCATTGCTACAAGCAAGTTGCTGCTGGATTTTTTGCTTTTATTAATAAATTATAAATTGTTTAGATTTTCCAGATTTATTGCTGGACTTTATATATTATATATATATATATATATATATATATATATATATATATATATATATATATATATATATATATATATATATATATATATATATATATATATATATATATATATATATATATATGTAGAGTTCCACGCGGTTATTAAAACAAATCTTGTTTTAAAAAATAAAAATAATGAATTTTTTTTTCCATTACTATAAGTATATAGTCTTAAATGTTAAAAAAATAATAATTAAAGGAAAAAAAAAAAAAAATGAACAAGCTATTTATAGATTTTAAAGTAAACGGAAAAAGTATAATTTCATTTAAGAAAAAGTGTTTAACTTTCATTATTTTTTTAAAATCTTGTAGTGATCCAAAATTTTTCCAATTAGTTTTAAATTGGTCGGCTGCAAAGCTGGTTTAATATGTTAAAGCACTAACATTTAATTTTTAGTTATTTCACGCGATATAAGCAAAATAGTTTCTTACACAATCATGATGCGTAGCTGACCGCTGGGAAGGAAAAGTTGTCTTTTTTCATCAATTAAAATTTTTTTTTAAATCCTTGTCGATTATTTACGTCAACTAATTAGCCATATTAAGGTTTTGCAATAATTAAAAAAAATTGGCATCAAATAGTTAAAAAAAACCCACTCAACTTCCTGTTGCGTAGCTGACTGCCAAAACTAAACATTTAAATGTCGCAAATTTTGTCAATTTTTTTAAAAGCAACAAATAGTTTTGCCCAAACTATTTTGAACTTCAAAACATTTATAGTCAATTAGAAATTATTTAAAACTCCAAAAGACTTTATAGTCAATATAAAGATATGGAATCACTGCAGGAACCAGTTGCTTGCGCATCCAATGAAAATAAAAAAGGTGAGCATTGTGTTTTTATAGAGTTTTTAAGTAATTTTTACATTTATTTGAATGTTTACTTTTTTTATTACAGCCATAAAGATAAAAAATAGAAAAGCAATGAATCAAAAGAATTACATGAGTAGAAATCATGAAGAAAAGAAATTCAATGCTGAAGAAAATGCTAGACTTCGAGGGCAAAGATGGAAAAAAGATTTTTGAAAAATTGCAGCTAAAAGATTAAAAAGTTTAGAAAGAATGAGAAAATTTCGACTGCGGCAAAAAGACGCATCTTTATCTCTCGAATCAAATCACTCATCATTTGCAAATGTGCAAGTTAAAGGAAAGTATATAAAAAAGTTGAATCGCTCTCTTCCCAAAAGTCTTGTTCAGAAAAAGGAGCTGTTGTGTTGTTTACTCAATGAAACTCAACCATTAACTTACTCAATTCCTAAATCAACAAACAGTCTTCAAGAAAAAGACTTAGTGGTTATACAAAATTTTTATTGCGACGATGAAATAAGTCCAATATCTCCAAGAACAGCAGATTATACTTCTGTAGTGATAGGAGAAAAAAAGGTGCGTGTTCAAATTCGACACATGTTATATACGCTAAAAGGAGCTTTTGAAGACTTTAAGCTAAACAATGCAGATATTAAATTAAGCCTGTCAAAATTTTGTCAGTTGAGACCAATTTACGTTCGATGTGTATCATCAATTCCTCATAACGTGTGTGTTTGCATGTTACATGAAAATATGCGTTATGCTCTTGAATCACTTTCGCGGGGTTTAGATATATTCACTACAATTAAAACAGGAAACTCTATGATTCTAAACTTTATTTGTGAAAAACCAACAAAACAATGCTTCAATGCCGTTTGCAAAGAATGTACTGTTTGTAATATGTTTGATAAATTATTACTTCAGTTCGAACAATTAGAGTTAGATGTTTCATGGAATCAGTGGCAGAAACCTCAAGCAAAATTGTAATGTCAAGAGCAGTCAATCGTCCGTATTTAAATTTAATATAGAATCAGCGATTCAAAAAGACTCAAATAAGTCTGTTATTCAAGTTGGCTGGGCAGAAAATTATACTTGTATTTACCAAAACGAAACGCAAGCAGCTCATTTCGGTCAAAATCACATTTCTATATTTACATGTGCAGTTTGGCATCGTCAAATTAAATCTTTTGCGCTAGTTTGTGATTCAAGCGATCATACAAAATTATCTGTTGTTCCAAACATAAATAAAATTATCGAGCTTCTATCAGACGATATTACAGAAGTTCATATTTTCAGTGATACTGCAACATCACAATTTAAAAATAAATATATTTTGGCATCAATGAAAATTTAAAAAAAAAAGCATACAATTAAAATGCACTGGCATTTTTTTGCTGCAATGCATGGAAAAGGAGCTGTGGATGGAATTGGAGCCACTGTAAAACGTGTTGCCAGAAAAAATGTTTTAACTATAAAATATATAATTTCTAGTGCTAGCAATTTGGCAGCCGCAACAAACAATTTAAAAATTACTGTTATATTACTGACTGATAAAGAAAAGCTAGAGATAAACAACTCTCTTGGTTTGAGCACCTTTTTTAAGAAAACAAAAAAAATTAAAGAATTGCATAAATGCCATTACTTTCAGGTTTTAGACGGTAATGTAGGTGAGCAGCTTTCGCCAAATATTGCATAATATCAAAGGAATAGAAGCGTCTAGACATTTAGCAGTGATCAAGTAATTTAAAAATCACCTTAAAAAGCTGTAAAAATTTCTTAATAAAAGCCATAAATAAATATTAGATTTGTTTTGTTTTGCGTAGCTGATTGTTGCGTAGCTGACTGCTTGATTTCTTAAAACGTTTTTTTTTACCTGTTATTGTTATTCTATTGAAAGTCTTACTTATTTTTTTCAATACTTTTCAAGTTTTCTTGGGGTGACTTTTTTGGCGCAACTAAGCTCGGAAGGTTTATTCAGTTTATCCCAAATATATTTCGATCAACAACAACAGCTTACACGTTTAAAGAACTTCTAGTTGTTGCTTTTTAAATTATTTTAGTTGTTCAATTATTGTCCAAATACTTGATGCTTTTAAAGCTCTGAAGATCAAAGTTCCTCTGAAGATCAAAGTAAATGCAAGTAAAATGAATGTATTTATATACATCTTTGAGTTAAAAACGTTTATATAATAAGGTTGTGAACAGATAAAAATATCAAGAGTACATTTAAAAGGAAATTGTATTACCTACCCCCTAGCCCAATTATTTAAAAAAGTGAGAGTACTGAAGCTTCTAAAGCCCCCTCCCCCTTTTCCACCCCGGGGTCCAGGTTTCTTTTAATGTAAAATTATCTTTATAAACTTTATAAATAAATTTTATTGTTTCTAAATACAAGCTATAAATATAGTTTTAGATTTGTTTTGGGTTTTATATAATTATAATAAAAATTCGCATGTTGCGTGGCTGATTGTTGAGTAGCTGACCGCATAGTTTTTTGAAAACTTTTTATTTGACGTGTAATTAATATTATATTAAAATTTTTTTATAAATATAACTTCAATGAAATAATTGTTTTTGAAGAAAAAAATGTTTTTATAAAAAAATAAATTATAGATTCGGAGAAAAAATAATTCAAACTTTAAATTAAAAAAACAAGCTTTTTTCCGCGTTGCGTAGCTGACCACTGTCTTTTATTTCTATTTTACTCTAATTGTCTTCTTATCCTTTTTTTTTCTTGTGAATAATAATAAAAAAGGATAATTTGAGTGTAAACGTAAAAAAAAATTAAAAATTATAATATAATGAGTCAGTTAAATTTTTAAAAACATGTTGCGCTCGTTGCGCAGCTGACGATAGAACTCTACATATATATATATATATATATATATATATATATATATATATATATATATATATATATATATATATATATATATATATATATATATATATATATATATATATATATATATATATATATATACATACATACACACAGTGGGTGGCCAATTATTAGTTACACCTAGGGGTGTGGAATCGTAAAAAAAAAGTAACGACTCCGACTCCAGTTGTTGAAATTTTTTGAGTCTGACTCCAACTCCAAAACAAAATTTTTTGAAAAATTCTTTGAATTCTTTAAAAAATATTGCATGATGAGTTGAATTTTTTTTTGACAAATTTATGCAACGTTCTTTGAGGTTTAGTATGAACATAAGGTTTATTGAATGTTTTGTACATACACGTGCATTACCAAGAAATATTACTATCAGAGTCGGAGTCGCGATATTTTTTAGCGACTCCGAATCTGCTAAAATTGTCGCAACTCCAACTCCGATTCCACAGCCCTGGTTACACTTTCAAAAATTATTATATTAACCATTATAAGCTCTTTTACGTATTCTTATGTTAAATTTAATCACAAAAAAATTAAATTATTAGTGCTACTAGCTTAAATTTTTCTTTAAAAAGTGAAACATTATTTTAAACACTACTGTTTTAAGCATTTATTTAAGAAAACTCATAATACAAAATATTTTTTACTATTTGGTTGGGCTGTCTTTTGCATCAATTACTGCTTGTATCCTTATTGGCATACTTTAGTTGTAATTTTTTACATTTGCTTTTAACTCCTTATCATTATGCCAGGATTTATTTAGCGCTCTATAAGATTTTTTTTTTGGTTATAGTTTTGTGCCCAATTATCCACTTAAAAAGTTCCAAGGCATTCTCTATTGGGTTTAAGTTGGGGGAATTTTCAGGCCATGGTAAAACAGTAACATTTTTTGAGTCTAAATATCTTGTCACTGATTTAGCTCTATGGCATGAGACAGAATCGTGCATAAAGATGCATTTGGATGGATCAGGAAACCAATAATGTAACTGAGGAACTAATTCGGCAGCTAATACTTTTTATATATATCATGGTTCACCATCCTATTAACTATATAAATTAGGCCACTGCACTTACCACTTATGACTGACCTCACCATCACCTTTAGATGGTGTTTTACTGTGTATATAACACAGTCTGGGTTATATTTTTCTTCTTTCCTTGGTTTAACAAAAAAAGACTTATCCATTAATATTTCAAATTGGAACTCATATAAGAAACACACCTATAAATAATTAAAAATAAAAATATAAAAACTCATATAAATGTTTTATTCAGTTATGTTGTTGCAATAAACAGTTAAATAAGTATTTACTTACATTTTCCCAATCTTCAGGAGACACATGTAGGTGTTGTTAGCCCAAGTGAGACATTTTAATTTCATCGCTGGCGTAGATTTAGGTTTCCTCGCAGGTCTGTAGCATTTAAACCCCAGTTCTGCTATTCAATGCTTTGTAGTTCTGTTTAAAATCTATGCTTCTTGCATAGTTTTTGTAACTGCTTTTGTATTTTTTCTTCAGTTTTTAACACAAATGTTACAAATTGCCTGGTCTTTTCTCGAGGTAGTGATATGTGGTCTCCCACATTTTCCACTTCTGGCACTTTGTACAGGTTTTTTTTAATCAAGTTTACCTTTGGTTCTGCTTACTTTAATCACAAAAACTTCAACTAAATTTTCAGTTTTGTTTTGGGAATGATTTAATAAAACAGATATTTCTGAAATTTTTTCGTTTGATATATCTTTAGCTTTCCCCATTTTTAGGCACCAAAGTTTAAATATTTTTAGTTATAAATTAATATAAAAAAATAATCGAAGTCACAAAAACAGTTTAAAAAAAAAAGAGTTTTTACGCATTATCTCACTCACAATTATTAATAAATAATAAAACCTCATAAAAAAATGTAGAAAACTATTATTGACATTAAAATTTATTTGCAATTTTTGTGAAAAAACAAACTGTAACTAATAATTTGGCTACCCACTGTATATATATATATATTATATATATATATATATATATATATATATATATATATATATATATATATATATATATATATATATATATATATATATATATATATATATATATATATTACAAATTTTTTGTTAAATATTTTTTGAAAAACCATTTTTTTTTTTATTATATAAATAGTCTAAGAAGTAGAAACATTCTCTTGCAAAGTTTAAACAAGTGAAATAAAAATTTAATTTGAAAAAATTTAAATTTAAGATTAGACTTTTTTTTTTATTGCAAAACAATAAAAGACTTATCCATTAATATTTCAAATTGGAACTCATATAAGAAACACACCTATAAATAATTAAAAATAAAAATATAAAAACTCATATAAATGATAAAAAATTGAATGAATTGAATAAAAACATAAATTATAAAATATTTGAATAAAAAAATTAATTACGTTGAAAATTTTATGAGTAGGCTAGATCAAGAAGCAATTACTAAAAAAACCTGAAAACTGAAAAACCTTAAATAATGTTTCATTGAAACTGTTAATTTATCATATTGCAAAAGTTAATGAAAAAGCAAAATATAAATAAAATAAATTTACTTCTGCAAAAATAATAACACTCAAAACTTATTTTTAATTATTGTTTGTTAAAACAGTTAAATTTAGTTTATAAGAAAATGCTAAATAAGATTTAAATAAGATATAAAAGTATTTTGTATCTTATTTTACAATTTCTTTTATTTAAAATATTTAATCACTGCTAAATTCCTTTAGACTGTTTAGATTCGCGGTTGTTTTCTAATTTAAGTTTTATAATAAGATTTTATATCATTATTCAAGGTCAATATAAAATTTTTATTGATAAACAGCTATGGTTTTTAAAAAGCTAAAAATTTAAAGACCAGAAGTATTTCCAGGTATTGCAATTTGTTATCGCTTAATTCGAGCCTTATAATAATTTTAAGCATTTTATAAAAATAAAATCTGATATTCAGGTTTATACCTTGTAGCTATAAAATATGTTTCTTTCGAGTCTCAATGTAAAGCAACCAAAGAAACTATACAAGTCTGGAAGCTTTTTGTTTATATTATGGCTTTCAACAAAATTCTCAAATTATGGTTGACTACAAGTGGTATGAGCCTTAATTCTAAAGTTTAGCCTGATAGATTGTCATTATGTATATGATTTATATACAACAAAACAACACTAAATTTAGACTAAATTTTTTCTAAATATTTCATGTTTCACAGTTTATTAACTCGTCTATCCAAGCCATCTTTACTAAATTATAACATAATCCATTCAATATTAAAGTATTTTAAATTTTATCTAAAACCAACAGTGGTTGCAATTGCTAAAATGCTGTGGATGCAATCTTTTAAAAAAGAAACTTTAAAAAATGAGGTATTTAAAAGAAAGTGTTCTTATTTGGTTTCAAATAATTATTTAAAAATTTATCCGTAGATAAGTTTTTATCATTTTATCATTTAAAATGGTGCAAATACCAAAACAAAGCAGTTAAAAGATATAAAAACATTAATTATATAATATTTATTGACAAAAAAATATAAGGAAAATTAAGAATGTTACTTAAACAAAAAAAAGGATAGTTTTCCATTAATTTTTAACACCATCTAGTATGCCTTGTGATTTTTACTTGTTGAAGTAAAATGCACTAAATTCCCTTTTTGCTCTAAAATCCCAAGTGTAAGAGAAAAAATTTTTTTTAACTCCAGGTAATCATTTTAAGGTTGAAAAGCGCATGATCTTGAAGGAAATTATGATGATTATGATGTAACCAATGGTTTTTAGCTTTTTTCAATGTACAACCAATTTTTTTTTATAAATATGATCAGTCAAATTATCAAGCTATATAATTTCTCTGAGCAATAAATGTTCATTGATTTTAAATCCTACTGAAAATGATCCAGATGAAATAAAAAAACAAATTAAATGTGGCTCTAGATGCAATTTTTCTAAATGTAGTGTCTGCATACCAAAATAAAAGTTGTTTCAATCAATGGCTTTTAATCGACTGTTTTCAGAACTATTATAGCAATTTTATGAATGAATAAATAAATGACTGATCTTGTATCAAAAATCAAACCAACAAAATTTCTGAAAAATAAGTTTTATATTATTCTAATTTATTATTTAATATGTTTAAAAGGTTACTTAAACTTGAGCAAATAAAAAAGTTATAAAACCTGAATATAGCCTCAAAACACACTGTTTAAGCAACTATGTGCATGTAAAAAAGAAATTTAATTTGTAAAATTAAAGATACAGTCACATAGTTTTTTGAATGTGTCGTGCTCACATAAAAAATTGATGTAAAATTGCTTAAGTAAGATCTTTTAACTTGAAACTTCTTTTCATTTTTATATTTACACTTTTTATTTCTATAAGCTTATTTAAAATAATAGAATCAGTAAAATTTATTATTTTTTAACGTAAAGCATGTTTTTATAGGAGCATATGCTGAATCAAATAAGTGTTCTGGAAGAAGCGTTTAAAAAGAAAGATCAAGAATACCTTCATTTAAAAAATGAAAATTTTCGTCTTGAACAGGAATTTGTTAAGTTTAAAAAAGAAATGGATAGTTTTACAACCAGTACAAGTATTCGATTGGATGAACTTCTTGTATCATACAATGACTTATCTTCACGTCTTCAACAAATTGAAAAACTAAAAAAAGAAGATAGCATAACTTACAACTTGCCTAGTCAAAAAGTACCACCTAGAATTGTACCACCTAAGGTTATAAATTTAGTACAAAAGCCTGTACCCTGTTATGTCTGGAAAATGAATCGCAATAGTGGTTCACGACAAACTAGTCCAAAATTTTATTCTTCTGATAAAGGTTATTTATGTCAACTGAAGGCTCGTAAAAGCATTCACTTATGCTTAGACATTTTAAAAGGCGATTTTGATCGCCAATTAGCATGGCCTTTTAACATGAAAGTTGAATTTGTTTGCTTTAACAAATTCTTATCAGAGAGACATTCATTAGTCTATCCATTAAAGAAAAAAGATGGTACACTTTCAGCTCAGGCTCATGCTTCTTACGAATACGCAGTTTTTTTGACTCCTGCTGTTATGAACTCCTGTATTGTTGATGATGTTATTTCTGTTGAAGTATATATAAGCTAATATTTTGACATAAATTGTTTTTGTTTTTATGTGTTTTTATGGCCGTTTTAACTCAATAAGTTTGTATTTACATAATTTGGTTGTTAATACTTATTTGACATTTAGTTAAATATACTGTTAAAAACTTTTGATATTTAAAGCTATTCAAAAATTTTTTAAATATACAATATGTAATATATAATAATATGGTGTGTCAAAAACCTTTTTTTTTTATAAGTGATAACATGTGCGTTTTTCTGAATGAAGTAAAATTTCTTCCTTTATTTACTGATTCAGAAAAATTACCCTGGCTCTAATATTACCACATAAAAAATAGCTACTTTTGTAAAAAGAATATTTTTTTAAATTTCAGAACTGTTATCATTTTTTTATGAGTTTCTTTACAATTTTTTCGGTAATCTTAAGGTTTTACTTATTTTCCAATTAAAAGTTGGGAAGAAAAAGGGGTTAAAGAGCATCTTTTAAATAATTTTAAAGAAACATATATATATATATATATATATATATATATATATATATATATATATATATATATATATATACCCATATAGTGTAGTCGAAAGAGCGTTTTAATGTAAAAAAAGTCTCTTACGACTACAATTTTAATTACCTCGTCTCTTAAGCTGTTTTTGATTGTCATCGAAATGTCAAAGCAATTAATTTATGCGGAAGTACATTAAATTTAATTGTTTTTTAAAAAATTTTTAAAAAACCGCAATTATAACGACTAGAAAGTTTTTTTTAATTAGTGGTGTTTTTGTTATTGATTTAATAAAAAACATTTTTAAAACGTGCGTAAATGTTGCTACATCGACTATCTTATAGCCTGACTCGCAACGGAGTGCTGCTACATCGACTGACAAATAGCCTGACTCGCAACGGAGTGCTGCTACATCGACTGACAAATAGCCTGACTCGCAACGGAGTGCTGCTACATCGACTGACAAATAGCCTGACTCGCAAGGGAATGCTGCTACATCGACTGACAAATAGCCTGACTCGCAAGGGAGTGCTGCTACAACGACTGATAAATAGCCTGACTCGCAAGAGAGTGCTGCTACATCGACTGAGGGTTTGGTTTGGCCAGGCAGTCTATCAATTAAAAAAAAAAATTTAATTTTTAAAACTTTTTCTGGTCTGGTTTATTAACGCGCTCTTTAAAACTACAGTTTATGGGAAACTTTTTTTGATGCCATGCAAGAGACATGCAAGAGTGTATATATATATATATATATATATATATATATATATATATATATATATATATATATATATATATATATATATATATAATAAAGTTATAAAATTTGCTAATAGCTAATTTTAAGGTATTATCTAATTTTTTATAAATGTTAGTAACGTAGATCTGCATATATATTTAATTATTAAATTTAGCAACATATGTCTACATAGTCCGATGTTTAGCTGCTTATTCTGTTAAATTTATTCAAAGGTGTCTGATTTTTATTTTTGTGTTTTTATGTCCATGGTTCCATACTTGAATGGTTTTAAACAATTTCCATAGTGTTATTTTCTTATGAAAATGTAATATTATGGAAGGTTTAAAGGACCTGTTTTGAAGATAAAGACTGATTATTTTTGTTGTGGTTTATTATGTTTTTATTGTAGAAAATAACTATCCAAGGTGTTCTTACCTCCTCCATTTAACTATCCAAGGTTTTCTTACCTTCTCCACTTAACTATCCAAGGTTTTCTTACCTCCTCCAACCTCAACCTCCACCTCCAACCTCCTCCACTTACAGTTAAATTCGTAGTTTTGTATTAGAATTTTATTTCTCCTAGGTAAGTTTTCTATATCACGGCCTTAACTCATTTTGTATAAGATTATTTTAACTACTTAATCAGGAAGAATTATAGACTATGAAGTTAAAGTTACGAGGCAAGATAATAAAATTTGATTTATGAGCCTTCTGTTGATTAATTCATGTCATTACCAACTGTAAAAGCTTTAGTTTTGCTTCAGTTTGTTACTGTAGTTCTTTTTTATTAGACTGTTTTCAATGTTTTTATTCTGTGATTCAAATCACATGCAATTGTTTTATATCAAATTTCAGTTTCAACTTATGATTGAACTTCAAGAAGCTCAAGAAATGGAGTTGCACTTTTATTAATTTTTATCATTTCTTCACTGTGATTGAGATCTCACATTATTATTTTAGTTTAAAGTGTAAAACAGTTTAATGTTGCATGTTTGCTTTTAAATATAAACTCATAACTTGGAAAGTTTGTAAAAGTATAACCATTTCTTGCCATATAGGTACTGATTTTTAAGAAATAACTAAAACTAAAAAATAACTATAACTAAAAAGTAAAAATAACATGGGTGTAAGTGTTTTAAAAGATAGTTGTAATTGTGAGTTATCACAAATTGTGCACTGTATTAAAAGGTGTATATTAAAAGCTGGGTGGTAGTAAGTACTATAAAGGAGAAAAATAGTAAATTTATTTTTTTGTTAAGCTAGGACTGTGCAGATCTGTTTGGTAATGTTATTTTTTAATGACAAAAATTTGAATTACTATATTTAGAACAGATTTTAGATTTTTAATAATAATCAACTAATCACTATTAAAAAGTTAAAGATTTTAACTTTTTAATAGTCAACTATATAAATAATGTTCAAGATTTTTAGAAAGTAACTCAGCAACAACCTAAATTATATTTGAGTACCAAGCTTTTTTTTGGAATTAATCATGTTAGTCACATAAAAAGTTGATACAACAATGAATCAAAGTAGTAAACTATGTGTAAAAAAAATGTGTAAAAGTAAACCATGTGTAAAAAAAAACAACTCAGCCAATTATGTTATCAACCTTTCAAGCAACAATTTAAAATGTATTCCTTCTGAGTTATTTTCTCAAAAAAGTTGCAAGTCAATTAACTTATCATGTAACTTCATCAAGTTAATACCTGAGAATGTTTTTCCTGGAAATAATGTAGTTGAACTGGTACTATTTTCAAACGAATTAACAGACATTCGTGGCCTCAAGAGTCTGCCAAACATACAAGTGTTAAAATTGCAACACAATAAAATTGTCTGTCTAAACGATTCACTTCAAAATGCTAAAAGTCTCAAAGTCTTAAGGTTAGATAGCAATTTAATTCATGAAATTAAACAAAATGAAGTTTCATCACTCTCTAATTTAACCTATCTTGACGTTAGCTCAAATCTCTTGAAGGATATTTCAGCTCTAAATGCACTGGTTCTATTGGAAGAGTTGAATTGCTCACATAATAATTTGACTCGCTTACCTGTTCTGTCTTCTTTAGTTAAGCTGCTTGAAATCAATGCAAGCTTCAATTGTCTAAATGATGTTTCTGGGTTAAGCATGCTTTGTCAGTTATTGACTCTTGTGCTAGACAATAACAAGCTAAATAGTTTAGTCTCCCTGAAGTCTTTGAGCTCGTTGCAAGTGTTAAAAATTTCTTGTAACAGATTTGTAAGCATAAAACATATTGTTGAACAGTTCAAGGAGCTTGAAGTTTTACATGTTGATAGAAATGAAATAGCGGAAGTATCTGAGCTGAAACAGTTGTTAACTTTGTCAATATCATTACGTGAATTAAATATTTATGATAATCCCATAATGCTAAACCAGGAGATACAAACTGAAGTTTATACTTTTATAAAAGAAATGAATCTCGATATATTAAATAGAAACAGTAATAGTACTTCAGTCATTAAGCAAAAAATAATGCGACCAATGTCTACTGATCAAATGATATCCTCACGCTTTGTTGAAAATCAAATTATTAACAGTAACATATCTATTAATGAATATGCAATGAATTTGAATAAGAAATTTGAAAATTTATCAATATTGTTCAGCAAACTAGCAGACAAAAATGAATTAGGTATAATTTATAATATTTTCTATTCAAAAAATTTTTAAATATTTATATTATAATAATAAAAAATGTTTATATTATAATAGTAAAGTTTTTACAATATAAAAATATAATATATGTAATATAAATGGATCATGTTTATGAGTCCTTTAAAAGTATACAATTTTTTTGTTTGTTTTTGTTTTTATATTGTTTATTGTTTAACCAAATGAATTTAATAGAGTCTTCTCAACATGAAAACGAGACTTTAATGTTTAAAAAAAAACTATCTAGACCATCAAGCAGTTGCAGTAGGTAAGACCAATCCACAATTGTTAAACTTTTTATTCCTTTTATAATAATTTATTGTAATTTTCAATAAATTTTTATATTTTTATAAATAATTGTTAGTCAGTCAAGAATTCTCGCAGCAAAAGTTTATGCAGATACGCACACCTGAGATTTACATGCATATGAAAATCTATCAGGAAAAGGTATCAAGAAAAATCAATTCAGTATTTTCAAAAACTTTTATTATTATTCTATTAAACTATGAACTTGTATTTATACGAAAGTAAATTAATAGAATTTAAATAATAGATATTAACATATTTCTTTATTATTGTAGATAATAGATATAAATGTATTTCTTAATTAGGTATTGTAAATAAATAAATTTTAACAGCAATTTTAATGGATTTTCAGTTACTTTGTAGTCTTTCTATTTAAAAGTTTTATATTTGTTATATTAATTTGGTGATAAACTATAACAAATTTTATAAGTTAAAAAATGCTTCTTTTTTTATTTCATTGATATATATATATATATATACATATATATATATATATATATATATATATATATATATATATATATATATATATATATATATATATATATATATATATATATATATATATATATATATATATATAGTATTGAAATATATTAGTTATATATATATATATATATATATATATAGTATTGAAATATATTAGTTATATATATATATATATATATATATATATATATATATATATATATATATATAGTATTGAAATATATTAGTTATATATATATATATATATATATATATATATATATATATATATATATATATATATATATATATATATATATATATATATATATATATATAGTATTGAAATATATTAGTTAATACTATGGATTTTGATAAAGACTGGCGCTTAGTTTGGGTTGATTTAGAAATGACTGGGCTTGATGTTGACAAAGATCATATTATTGAAATGGCTGTTCTTATTACAGACTCTGATTTAAATATTATTGCTGAAGGTCCAGATATCATTATAAACCAACCTGAAAGTATTCTTCAGAATATGGGTGATTGGTGCAAAGTACAACATGGAAAATCTGGTAACTTTTGTTTGGTTTTAAATTTCTTATTTTAATTTTATCAAAAAAAAAATTTTTTTAATATTTGATGATTTTTTTGTAAGATAAACACAGTGTTAGTAGATTTTACAAATACAAGTAGTGTAATAAAGTGCAAAATGTTATACTCAAGAATTCGTTTACTTAATACAGCAAATGTAATAAGTTTTAAAAAAAAATTGAAATTTTTGTGAATTTCTAACATCCTACAATATCTAATTTCTAATATCTTGCTATGATAATCTAAACCAAAATAAATAAATTTTTTTTTAATTTTTTTGTTTTGAAATATTTTTTTATTTTAAAGTTGCCAAACTATGTTAAAGAAAAGAAAATTATTTTTATCAAATTTAATTTGATTTACTTTTTTATGTTTGTTTATCATTCAACTATTTTATTTATTTATTTATAGTTTCAAATTAGTCAATTATTTTCATTTCGTTATGAAAGTGCTAATATACAAAAGTGCTTAGAGCTTATAACTGTATATTTTAGAGAATTTTTTTAGTAAACTTTAAAATTAAAAATTAAAAAAATTTATATAAAAGCTGTAGCACTAAACTAAAGGAATTGAAGAGCAAACAACAAATAGTTTAATGATATATAAACTATATCATGGTTTTTTATTCAAAATATTTTAGGCCCCCTAAAATTGAATCAGCCTAGGACTGCCAAGGGTGTAAATCTGGCCCTGGTTTTGCTTACATTTTTTGAAAATTTGGTAAAATTGCATTTTGAAATAAGTAGTTTTTGTTTAAATAACCATAAATAACTGAGCTGATTTAATTTTGATAAAAAATAATTTAAAAGAGATTTAAAAAAAAAAACTATATAGAAAATAAATAATATTTTATAATAAAAATACTTTATCATATAGATCAAACTGACATTTGAAATAAATTACATATAGGTATTAGTTTGCCTTATATTTGGTTTATATTTTGTGTAGGTTTGTCACTATTTTACACAAAAATTCTTTTATTAAAAATTCTTTTCAACCATTGTATACCTTTTTTTAGTTTTTTTTTGGCTTAAAAAAAGTAGAGAAGCAAGAACTAATCAAAAATAATTTATCATGATTACAAAAGTTAAAAGTATTTATGATTAAGTGTGATGACATAATTATAATTAGTAACTATTAATAATAGTGCAATCTGACATCATTATTAATAATTTTATCATCATTTTCTCCCATAATGTCCTAGCTTTTTGTTCCTAGCACTGACATATTTTTATTAATATTACAATTATAAGAGTGATTTCAGACCAAATCTTATGCTATGACCTATGTAAAATCAACTTAGACAGGTCTGACAGTATTTTGATTGTTGACCTGGTAATATTAGCAGAAAAAAATGTATGCATAATAGTAATCCATCTATTCCTGAGGCAGCCTTCAGTTGTTCCAATAAGAGCATAATTCATAAGCTCAAGTTTCTCTTTTTTAAGATTGACATTAAGTAAACAAAATGTTTGATAACATTAATAGTACATAGAACAATAGTACATAGAAGTACATAGAACTTCTATGTATTATTGTTACAATTGTAACAATTGTAACAATTTTATCATAGTTTTGTCACTTTAGTAAAATTATTAATCAAAACTTCTTAATTTGATCTTTTAAATTATAAGTAAAAGTAATGATAAATGAAGTTTTGGCTGGTGTTTGGAAAAATGATGAATCTAATATAAAATTTTTGTGATGATATTGACTTTGTTAATACTATCTTAAACTAAAGTCCATGATGTTGCCTACTGTGATAAACACCAACTTTTGACACTGACAATATTAGCAGAATTTAGCAAATTTTTAAAGCTTTTTTTTTTGTTTGTTTTTTTATTGACTTGAACGAAAGGTGCCAACAATTATGTCTTGTTAATTATGTGTACAACAAACCAAAGAAAATAAAAATGTTTAATTTTGAGAACTGATGAGATTTATTTATGGTTTAACCAACTTTGAAATTTTAATTTCAAAATTTTATTACTCAAACTTCATTTATTCCAAAGATCAATTTAATTGCGATCAAATCTTGATGATACTGAAAAATAAATTCAAGCTGGTTCTTTATCTTTTGAAATAAAAAATCTAACAAAAAATTATAAATAAAACAGTTTTATGTAAAAAAAAATTAGATAAACAATTTCACCTGTTACAAATAAGAACCTTAGTCAGAACAGGCTGTGTCAACCAGCATAAGCATAATAATAGGCAACAGACATCTACAACAGAAAAAATGATATGTCATGCTTCAAAACAATTAGACCAATCTGGAACATTAATCTCCAAAGTGGTTCAGAATGTCTTTCAGTTTTTTTTCTCTAAATTTGTTAGATTCATTAGTCTCGGAATTTAGTTGTTATTAGCGTCATCAACAACAAGCTAAGATGTTAAAAGAAACATAGCATGATGTCTATTTTAGTAAAATCAAGGTCTTTTTTTGAATGAAAATGTCAATGGGAATGGTTAGACTGCCACAAGAACATGACCATTGGTTTCTTTTTAAGATTTGATTACTAGTATCTATTAAGAATATTCAATCCTTGGTTTTCTACAATAATTGCCAAATTTCTTGGTATCTCCAACTTGCTAATGACAACTCAGATTAAAATGCTTTCCTTTTAATACTTATAAAAAGTTGTAGAGTTATAAACTCAAAACCACTTATTATTCTTCCAAACAATTCAAGTAAGTTTAATAAATACCAATGTAACTTTCATGCAATATATATCAAGGAATATAACATATTGAATAACACAAGGAATCGAACATATTGAATAACACAAGGAATATAACATATTGAATAACACAAGGAATCTAACATATTGAATAACACAAGGAATATAACATATTGAATAACACAAGGAATATAACATATTGAATAACACAAGGAATATAACATATATCTAATATAAGCTTACGGTCATTATAATAAGTTGTATAACATCTATCAGTATGCACAAATTGTAGTGAGTTTCATGGAATCAATATTGTTGTTTATTGGAAAGATAAGTGAGATGTTTATGCTATGTTCTCTATCCAAAGCATCGCTTTACAAATCATTAACTGTTGTAGAAATCAGGATCCTGTTTAGAAACCTGACATTTTTTTAATAAAGTTTCAAAAGAATGTATGACTTTGTTAATATAATGCTTTCCATCACTGTTCTATCATTTTAAGCACAGTGTGTTGATTTTTACTGTTTACAAATATTAACTTTGGCCACAAAAAGAGACTCAAAGGTTTTATTTTTGATTCAAATAAGGAAAATATTGAATTTAAAAAAGAAAATAAAATGGTATTATGTTCTGCTATTCACTATCCTGTGTTCTGGCAAACACAAGATAGTGAAAGAAATGTTATCACACACAAGATAGTAAAAAAAAAAATTTTACATACAAGATATTAATAAAAAATGTACACGCATACATAATAGCGAAAAAAATTACACACAAAAGTAAAACTGCCTTATGTAAAAAAAAACCACGGTAGGACTGGTTAGTCAAGGTTTATATAACTTTTTTGGAGAAACTTTATTTAATTTCTAATTGTTTATTTTATTTATTTTGTTGTTGTTTTTTTGCTACTTGTTTATAATTTTTTGCATTTATATGCACTTAGCTAAAGAAAATATAGTGCTTTTTTCCTTCTTTTCTTGTGGTTTCTTGTGGGTCAGACAAATTATAAAACAATTGAGTAATTAAATAAAAGAGTCATTCTATTTGAATTTTTTTTTCACAGTATAATTTGGAGTTATTAAGTTACTATTAGGATAGAAATTAGTACCTTTAAAAGATTATCGTCTCGAGCTGCATTTCCACCTGCACTGCTGAACTTTATGTCATTAATTTTAACACAACTAGTTGTCCTATTAGTACTATATAGCATTAATTATTTTTTATATATCTATATGCTTTACTGTATTTAACATCGCAAATTATCTATAATGACTGCATTATGTTAATCTTAGTTTATGCTCAACCCAACCATTGTTTCTTTTTTTGTTAAACAAATTTTGATACAAATTTAATTTATATTTTATTATTTTTGTCCTTACAGTTTGACTGCACAAAAATTACATCTTGAATATTTCTGAAAAGCATGTGTATATATAAATATATAATGTGTGTATATATAAATATATAATCAGTGTATATATAAATAGATATTATAATTATATAATATGCTTAGACTAACACTAGTTTTTTTCAGTTATAATAAAATATTTAAAATCTGTTTAATGTAACTTATTAAGGTGATTATAAGATACAGAGTTAAGTACAGAGTTAAGTATTGTTTCTTTCGATTTAATGGCAAGTGTTTTTTCGACATCTGATAAGTTTGAATTAAAACTTTAAAAAAGTACGCTCATAGAATGTTTAAAACTTGGTATGAATAAACAGTTTAACCATGTTCTAATAACAATTTAGCTTTTAATTTTAAATCGTTTAACCTTTACTTTTACAACTTCCTATTTTTTAACTTAAAGCTTGTAAAAAAAATTGATTTTAATATAGTTTTACAGGTTTGTTCGTAAGCAATTGCATTTAAATTGTTTTTTAATCACCTTAATAAGTTATACAAACCTAATTTTAGCTGAAGATGATTTATGTTAGTCGAAGCATGAATTATTATTTTCTATTAATGAAATGCTTTTAACAATTTTTTTTATTAAATTGTTTAAATTTTTTTGTGCCAAATGGAAACTTTAGGTGTGTGTATGTGTATATAAAGTTTTGAAAACAAAATGGTATTCTGTTTTGGTATTCACTATCCTGTGTTCTGACACACAAGATAGTGAAAATCCTGTGTTCTGACACAAAAGATAGTGTATCCTATGTTCTGACACACAAGATAGTGAAAGAAATGCTATCACTCTATATATATATATATATATATATATATATATATATATATATGGTTTTGTTGTTTTTTAGGTTTAACGAAAGCTGTCCAAGTATCTCGAGTCACGCTGAAAGAATGTGAAAGGGAAATGATATGTTTTGTATCAAAGTATACCAACAAAGAAAAATGTCTTCTCGCGGGAAACACAGTTCATGTTGATAAAGAGTTTTTAAAAAAGTATATGCCAGATTTTATATCTCTTCTTCATTATAGAATAATAGATGTAAGTACTGTTAAGGAACTTTGTCGGGCATGGTATCCTTTGGAGTATGCTAATGCACCCAAAAAAATAAATTCCCATCGAGCTTTAGCAGACATTAGAGAAAGTGTCGATGAGTTAAAGTATTACAGAAATGCTATTTTTAAAAGTTCATAATATTTTTCTGAATAGAACTTATACTAATCGATTTATGAAATTTTAGTATTGCATACAATGGTTGCATCGTAGGCTTTAGCAGATACATATCCATACGTCTAACTGCAAAGCGCTGCGTAGTATTGGTTGCTGTTTTATTACGGTTACGTGAATTTTCTTAGAAAACATTTTTTTTTTAAATTAAATAATAAAATTGCAAAAAAAATCTTTTAGTATTTTACTGACCCTGTATAAAATTTAGACATTATTTGGGATAGGGTTGGATTTCTAATAAAAATTTAGTGGTTAATTTATTGACCCGGTATAAAATTGAAATGTTATTTTCGAGTAGGGTTGGGCATTATTCAAAATTTAAGTGTTAACTGGTAAAAGTAGTTAAACGTAAAATTCGGGAAACCACATCTAACATGTCAGAAAATCATATAAAATGTATAAAATTGCGTAACTGCGTAATTAAATTTTTAGTTGTGAATTTCCTAACAAGTAAGCTTTCGAGTTTTTTTTATGATATATTTTATTAATGCAATTAATTATAAGTGTTGGTGTTAGATCATATTCTCATTTTTATCAGTATCTAACAGGTTTTCGAGGGTTTGGAGATTATTTGGAGTATCAAGATAATTGTGATGATATACCATTTATTTGCAAAGTATGTGATTGTAAGAGTGTTATGCTTTGATAAAAACTACCTATAGTAAAATGTTTGTATTGTTGGAGACTTTAAACGGAGAAAAATGTAAACCTAGAGGCCAAATAACATTTTAAAAATAAAGATTTTTTTTTTTTTTTTTTTTTTTTTAGAATAATATTGATTTTCTATCAGGTAAGAATACTTGTAGCATAAAGTCAAGCCTATCCATTATACCTCAATTTACGCTGGTAAAACTTTTTATCACAGATATTTAGGGCCTGTTTATATTGAAAGCGGACTAACTCGTTTGCCGAGATATTGACATCTTCCTTATTTCAACTTAATTTTTTTTATTTTATATTTTTGGCGTATATATGGGTAATCGGTAAAATGCGAACCGCGAACTGCGAACCGGTAAAATGCGAACTATTTTGCGAACCAAAACATTACATTTTAATGACCGCAATATAATATATTAAAGTTATATAAAACGTTTGCTATTCAATTCTTTCTTTTATTAAATAATATAATGGAATTAGATTTATTTAAATCTTTACCCGCTGAATTCGCTGTTCGGTACAAACCAAAAGCTGGTACTAATTACATTTTCTCGTGGACTAATGACAAGGATAAAGGTAAGATATGTGAATATATATATATATATATATATATATATAATTTTTACAATTTATTCACGTTTTAAAAGAATTAAGGATCGTTTGAAGATTAAATTGTTTTTAAATTAAAAACCAAGGAAAATTATTTAAAATAACATAAAATATTATTTAGAAAATTGGCGTGCAGATGGTTACAGGTGGAGGCAAGGGGGTTCAAAGACAATTAATGGAATTAAAAGGAAGTATTTTAGAATTCTTGTTGCACAAGACACAGTAAGTGATGTGTTTGTACGTAGAGCACACTATCACGCTGATTATGCTAATTCAGTTCTGATATCATACATAGGTGATGAAGCTAAGGCTGTGCAGTTTCCTCATGGAAATGCTACTAGATGTAATAGAGATTTTATCAGGACACAGCCAGGTGTTATAAACCAAATTAAGGAAAGTACAGGTTCTGTCTAAAAAGTATACAAAAACATAATATTATCAAATACAGCTGATATAAATATAACAGCAGTTCCACGTAACATGGAACAAGTCAGTAATACTTTAAAATCAACACGCAATCAGCATCGTTTAACTAGAGATAGTTTATACAATCTTCATGAATTAGCGTATGATACAAATTTTATTCATAATATAATAACATTTCCTGATTTGGTGGTAGTTATGTACTCAGATGAAACACTGCAAATTTTTCAGCAAGTACTGAAATTGTCTCAACTACCTCAGCAACTATCATATGATACAACTTTTTCTTTAGGCGACTTCTATCTTTCTGTTTTGCTATTTAGAGAAACTGAGTTTGACCTAAGTCCAATCATTCCACTAGCTTTTATGATACATGAGCGAAAAACACTAATGCCCCATTCCATATTTTGGCAACATATGAAATTAGTATGCCCAGAACTTGCTTTAAAGAATGTTTTTATTGTCACAGATCAAGAACGAGCTATAACAGAGGCCATCAAAGAAAGTTTTCCATCAGTTTCACATTTTCTTTGTTGGAACCATGTTTTGCAGGACAGTAAGCGATGGTTACAATTGCATGGAGTGAAGACAAAAGATGAATTAGCATATTACACTGAATGTATTCAATCTCTTCTTCGTTCTGATTCTGAATCTTCATATAAAGATAAACTAATAACAATGTTATCAGCATGGAGTCAGCCTTTTTCTGAGTACTATATCAAAACAATTCATAGTGTAGTAGACAAACTTGGATCTTGGAGAATTAAACAGTTTAACTTTCATGAAATTACAACAAATCAATCAGAAGCATTTAATACTGTAATTAAGCGACTACAGGACTGGAAAGAGGCTACTGTAGATTCAATGGCTTTAAGCTTATATAGACTTATACAATATAGTATGGTGGAAATTTATCGTGCTCGAAAAGGAACTGGCTAATATGAATTAAGAGCTGAATTGAAAGGTACTTATGAAGAATGTGATCTTCATATTCCAGATACAACAGCACCAGAACAAATTGTTTAACGTATTAAAGAAACCATCAACAATCAATTTATGCATAATACATCTAAAAGTTTAGAGTTAGTACAAGATACAACTATGATAACTTCTGTTGAAAGGGCCAATGAAATCATTAGAAATTCTCATATTGCTCTTGACCCCAAACTTGCGACCTTTATTGTAAAAGGATCTATAGAACCACGTGTAGTAAAACTGTTTCCAAAAGAGACATGTTCATGTCCAGCTGAAAGTAGATGTTGTCATATATTGGCAGCACGCCAGGCTATTGGTCTATCTGTTACAAACAACAACAAAAAAACAGGTTAATCTAACACAACTTCGTCGAAATACAAGAAAAAAATCTGACAAAACAAGAGGAAGAAAAAGACCAAGAACACTTGATATTGAAGTTATTCCAGCAGGAGATGCTAATCCAGACGAAATAAAAGATTTGATAGCTAAAGTTAATGCCTTAAAAAAAACATGATATATATATAAATATATATATATATATATATATATATATATATATATATATATATATATATATATATATATATATATATATATATATATATATATATATACACACATATATAGATAGATCATGTTGATAACAACTTTAAACAAAAGAAAAGTAAACAAAAACTATAAATAAAGTTTTTACATAGTTTATATAAATACATATATATAATATAATTAATAAAGTACGTATAATATATAAAATATATTTTTAACTAATTATATTTACTTATCAAAACAGAGTGTAGAATATATATTTATAGTAACAAAAGGTGTACCTTGAATGTTGTTTTTTTTAATATCATATCCCTTTTTTATGAATCTTCGTTATAATATATGAATCTGTAGAAGAAGTATAAACAAAGAACTATTTCTTCATTATACATTTTTTACAGATTTTTCTTACTATTCACTTTTTCATCTTAAGTATCTGTTTTTTTCGCAGTTTTCTTTTTTCATACTAGTTTTACTCAATTTGTTTTTTTAAATAAATGCTTTTGCGTGTAGTCCTTAAAATATTTTGGAAAATAAACAGTTTAACGGCAAACGGAAAATAAAGTATTACATCATTAACAACCAATAGAACCATGGTTCGCAAAAAAGTTCGCATTTTACCAGTTCGCAGTTCGCGGTTCGCAGTTCGCATTTTACCGACTACCGTATATATGAATAAACGAGCTAGCCCGGATGGCGAGATCTCACTGTTTTTTGCCGAGAAACAAACGGGCTGGTTAATTTCTTATATAAAAATCCTTAAATTTCTTAAATTTGAAAGCTTCCGCGTAAAATAATAAACTTAATAACTGGGAACTTCTGTGTACTTAAATTTTTAGTTATTTTGCCTTTATAATATTATTTCAATTTTCTTATTTGCATTTAAAATTATACTGCTGACAAGTCTCACTCAAAATGGCTGATTTTATTGATAAAACAAAAAGAACTTTAAATGGGATCATAATATGGCAAGGATGCTTAACGAAAACCTTGACTTTGATGCCGATAAAGTTTATTTATATAGAGAAGTTCGTTTATCTATGGCAGAGCTCTATAATAAAGTTGAAGAGTTGTATTTTGGACCTGTTGCCATTGATACTTTAAATAAAAAGGACTCAAAAGGAGCAATAAAACGAGGGACTAAACGAGTTAAAAAAATAATTGAAAGAAATTTGACAAAAGTTTTCGAAAGCAGTTGTGAGCGACAGTCGAAGTGGAAGTGGTAAAATTATATTAGAGTTTTACGACTAGCTCATCTCCTTGTGGGGCGGTTCAGCCAATATTAAACCACTTACATTTGGTGCTAAAAGTGACGAAGAAACTAATTTTTCAATTGATCAAGACTTATCACTTGAAACGAAATTTATGTGCCGCCCATACAGAAAGAATATGAACACTGTTTATATTCTTTGTATGAAAAAATATGAACAATGTTCGATATTGCTTTGCAAACTGAAATTATAACGGCAGAAGCAGTGCATACTGCAATTACAAAAGCGTTTGCAGTCATTCCCAGAGATCCAGTATCTTTCAAGTAATATAAAGTAATAGCTACCTTTTTATCTGCTGATAGAGCTCTATAGATAGTCGCCATCTTTAAAATTATCATTTTACCGATAAAGAGGCCAGCCCTGCTTGAAAATTTTTTATCTATTGATGATATTTTATCTATTGATGATATATTTAAATACTTTTTATAACAATCACGTATTTGTCTTTTTAATTGTAAGACTGTTGTATTTTCTCTTGCCTTTTAAAAAAAGAGATGTATTTACTAAGTGTATATATATATGTATTTAT